AATTTCTGAGAGCATTGTGTCTCTTGAATGTTCATCATTTCACTTGCCAGTCCTCTTTCCATCACATTCTTGATGTATTCCTTGACGGCTGGAATATGATGCATTACATTCAAGTTTGTTGTGGCTATTTCCAAGTTCTYATCGATTTGTCTCAGCAATTCTCGTTCGTTGTCTTGTAGTATTTGGATGATTTTCTTGGTTTTGTCTTTGACTTCTTTTTTTGCTTTTTCTCCCTGTTGTTTGATAGTGTTAGCAATCTTTACTTGTTGTTGCTTTTCCTTGTCATCTAATCTCAACTGCTCTAATACCTGCAGATGCTTTGACAATTCAGCTTTCTTGATCGAAACAAACTTATCTAATGACATTGTCTTATGATCCTTGTGATCTATCAAGCATGTCCTGCAAATCATTGCATCACAATCTTCGCAGAAAAACTCTAGCCTGTGATGAGGGTGACTTGTACAAGGAYTTTCCCTTGTTATTAKGAACTSAATATCTTCTTTCTTCAAATCAGCCAGACCAACGATCTTGTGATCTTTGATAAATACTGAATGGTTCTTCTCGCATTCATCACACATCGAGCGATCACAGTCAAAACAATACCAAGAAGCTGACGAATGACTCTCAGAAACCGAACAARCCTTTTCTCCTTCTACTAAMGCCAGATCCTTCGCGATTCTTGAATGTATTAGACTTGGCTGTAGATCTTCGATGCTGCTCAGTTCTGGTAGAGAAGTCTGTGATTTGCATCGAGGACACTTGAAGATGTTGATTTGGTCGACTTGCTCGGCGTGTCGTTTGACGCAAGGCTTACAAAATGTGTGGAAACAAGACAAGATCTTTGGTTCAGTGAAAGTATCATTACATAGCGGACATCGGACATCCTTCTTAATATCTTCAACGAACGATTTCATGTCTTCAGGATTTGAGACGAGATGAGGGAGTTGTCTGAATAATGTTGTTTGTCAGTCTTTGGTCAGGGGATTCTTGGAAATGAACGTGACCTTACTACCTTGACATGATGTCACGCGATGAATGTATAATTTGATACATAACCTCGGAAATTTCATGGAATTTTGTGTGACGTTTATTTTCAGCATGCATAGAAGAGCACTTGGATCCCGTTGGTGGGTACTGTGAGAAAGTTATATATGCATTTGAATGAGAATGTCAAAGTATGAAAAATATCAACTTGATTCAAATTTAATCAAATCAAAACAAATCTAAATAAAAATTGGTTTAATAGATAAACAATAATAAAAACAAAATGAAAGAAAAGAAAAAAATGAATAAATGCAAACAAACAAATAAATTAAAAAAAAAA